TTTGACCACATTTATTAGTTGTTATGCCGAATCTAACCGTGTATTTAGATTTTTAATTTTGGGTCCAGTTTTCAAATTGGTCTACATTAAGGTCCAAAGGGTTCAAAATTAAACTTTGTTTGATTTTAACAAAAATTGAATATATGGGGTTCTTTGATATGCTGAATCTAAACATGTATAGATTTTTGATTTTTGGCCCAGTTTTTAAGTTGGTCCAAATTGGGGTCCAAAATTAAACTTTGTTTGATTTCAACAAAAATTGAATATATGGGGTTCTTTTATATGCTGAATCTAACCATGTATTTAGATTTTTTATTTGTGGGCCCCGCTATCAAATTGGTTCATATTGAGGTCAAAAGAGTCCAAAATTAAACTTTGTTTGATTTCATCAAAAATTGAATTATTGGGGTTATTTGATATTCCAAATCTAACCTTGTATTTAGATTTTTAATTTTGGGTCCCGTTTTTTAAATTAGTCTACATTAAGGTCCAAAGGGTTCAAAATTAAACTTAGTTTGATTTTAACAAAAATTGAATTCTTGGGGTTCTTTGATATGCTGAATCTAAACATGTGTTTAGATTTTTGATTATGGGCCCAGTTTTCAAGTTTGTCCAAGTTGGGGTCCAAAATTAAACTGTGTTTGATTTCAACAAAAATTGAATACAAGGGGTTCTTTGATATGCTGAATCTAACCTTGTATTTTGATTTTGGACATTGGACCATAATAGGTAAATTAAAAAAATTCAAGTTCTTAGACCACATTCTTTCTGTGTCAGAAACCTATGCTGTGTCAAATATTTAATCACAATCCAAATTCAGAGCTGTATCAAGCTTGAATGTTGTGTCCATACTTGCCCCAACTGTTCAGGGTTCGACCTCTGTGGTCATATCAAGCTGCGCCCAGCGAAGCATTTTATTAAAATTGGAGTTATCTTCCTTTGTCCATGATTATAATTGAATCAACTACAATCAATGCTTTATACAATGCAATGTTTAATTTTGACTCCCACTGATAAAACACTGATCAAGTTGAATTTGGGTAGTGTCACTTTAACCATTATTGAGTTATGCCCCTTTATAATTCGAAAGATTGCAAAATTTTTGGTTTCCATTCTGTAACTTAAGTTTGCCCCAACCAAACATTATGAAACCTATACACAATATTCATTACCATAAAACTAAGATCAAGTACAAATTTTTTGTTTCCGTTTTCTAACTTTAGTTTGCCTCAACCAAATGTTATGAAACTTATACACAATGCTTATTACTACATAATACAGATTAAGTACGAAATTTGGTGGCAACACTTTTACCATTCTTGAGTTATGTCCCTTTATAAACATAAAAATTGCTGAATTTTTCGTTTCCGTTCTCTAACTTTAGTTTGTCTCAACCAAATGTTATAAAACTAATACACAACCGTTCTAGAGTTATACGTGTTTACAAATAGAAAAATTGCTGAATTTTAAGTTTCTATTGTCTACTTAAGTTAGCCTCAACCAAATGTTATGAGACTTACACACAATGCTTATTACCACAAAACTCAGATCAAGTTCAAATTTGGGTAGCGTCACTTTAACCGTTCTTCAGTTATGTCCCTTTATAACTATATGATATGCAAGCGGGGGCATCATCTGTGTCCACATGTGGACACTATCCACATTTATTTAAAAAGGGGTGCAAGTTGGTGGAAAAGTGGGGCGACTTGGTGTGGGTTGATTTGTCATGGATTCTTCCTATCCCATGACCAAGTTTGAATCTGGGTCCATTGACCCAAAATCATGTTCGCTCCAATTCTCATTCACCCCTTTCACATAGCACCCCACACATTCACACCTTTTTAAAGGTTTTGTGTTGAATAAGTTTTTATACGACCGCAAAAATTAAAAATTTTTTGGTCGTATATTGGTATGACGTTGGCGTCGTCGTCGTCTGGTGTCGTCCGAAGACACATTAGTTTTCGCACTCTAACTTTAGTTTAAGTGAATGGATCTCCATGAAATTTTACCATAAGGTTCAATACCAGGAAAGGAAGGTTGGGATTGATTTTGGGGGTTATGGTACCAACAGTTAAGGAATTAGGGGCCAAAAAGGGGCCAAAAATAAGCATTTTTGTAACTTCTAGACAATAACTTGTGTGTAAGTGTATGGATCTCTCTGACATTGTACCACAAGGTTCCATATCACAAAGGGAAGGCTGTAATTGATTTTGGGGGTAATTGCCTCAAAATTTTAGGAATTAGGGGCCAAAAAAGGGGCAAAAAACAAGCATTTTTCTAGTTTCATGACAATAACTTGTGTGTAAGTGTTTGGATATTTCTGAAATAGTACTACAAGGTTCCATATCACAAAGGGAAAGCTGGAATTGAGTTTGGGGGTAATTGCCCGAAACGTTTAGGAATTGGGGGCCAAAAAGGGGCCAAAAATAAGCATTTTTCTAGTTTCCAGACAATAACTTGTGTTCAAGTGTATGGATCTCTCTGAAATTGTACTGCAAGGTACCATACCACAAAGGGAAGGCTGGAATTGAGTTTGGGGGTGATGAATCATAAGGGGGTTCAAAAAATTTGGGGGGGGGGGGTTTTTTTTTTCTTTTTTTTTCTTTTTTTCCTTTTTTTTTTCTTTTAAAATTTTCCATTTTAAGTTGGTTATTTCTGATTAATATTTAAAAGCAAATAATAATGATATGGTAGGAGATACACACCAAACAGGATGTGTAAATTATTATATAATAAGTATTGTGCAATAGCAAGAAATTTTCAATTGCACAGTATTGCACAATAGCAAGAAATCTTCAATTGCACAGTATTGCGCAATAGCAAGAAATCTTCAGTTGCACAGTATTGTGCAATAGCAAGAAATATCCAATAGCACAATATTGCGCAATAGCAAGAAATTGTCAATTGTACAGTATTGCACAATAGCAAGAAATATTCAATTGCACAGTATTGTGCAAAAGAAGATACTTCGTATAAATTGCTTATTTCTTGATCAATTTCAATGGGGTTTTATTCTTGAATTCTTGGGGTTCTTTAATATGCTGAATCTAACCGTGTATTAAGTTTTTGGATTTTGGGCCCCGTTTTTAAATTGGTCCACATTGAGGTCCAAAGGGTCCAAAATTTAACTTTGTTTGATTTCATCAAAAATTGAATTATTGGGGTTCTTTGATATGCCGAATCTAACCGTGTATTTAGATTCTTAATTTTTGGTTCCGTTTTCAAATTGGTCTACATTAAGGTCCAAAGCATGTGAGGGCCTCAGGGAAGATTAGTTTATTGTAACTAACTGAGTTTACCCTCTTTAAATAAAGAATTTATTATTATTATTATTATTATTATTATAAAGGGTCCAAAATAAAACTTAGTTATTTTTAGGGTTCTTTGATATGCTGAATCGAAACATGTATTTAGATGTTTGATTATGGGCCCAGTTTTCAAGTTGGTCCAAATCGGGGTCCAAAATTAAACTTTGTTTAATTTCAACAAAAATTGAATATATGGGGTTCTTTGATATGCTGAATCTAACCATGTATTTAGATTTTTGATTTTTGGGCCCCGTTATCAACTTTGTCCACATTGAGGTCAAAAGGGTCCAAAATTAAACTTTGTTTGATTTCATCAAAAATTGAATTCTTGGGGTTCTTTGATATGCCGAATCTAACCATGTATTTAGATTTTGGATATTGGACCATAATAGGTGAATGTCCAATTTAAAATTTTTAAGTTCTTAGACCACATTCATTCTGTGTCAGAAACCTATGATGTGTCAAATATTTAATCACAATCCAAATTCAGAGCTGTATCAAGCTTGAATGTTGTGTCCATACTTGCCCCAACTGTTCAGGGTTCGACCTCTGCGGTCGTATCAAGCTGCGCCCTGCGGAGCATTTTATTATAATTGCTTTAGTTTGATGAAAAGGAATATGAATATTGTCATGATGATCAAAGACTAAGTCATTCGTTTCTAAGACTTTGTAAAAGAAAGGCAGAAAATTCCAAACTGCTATCAAACTCGTCACAAACTGTTAGAAATAACTATCTTGTATTTTTTTCATTAAAAATCTTCATTGAATTACTCCTTCCAAGCTAATATTTGTATTTTACTTTACACCAAACACATAACAATAATACCAAATTAGCTTTGTAAAAACCAATTAACAGTAATCTAAAATAAATCACAATTAATAATTTTAAAATCATCTAATCACAAAAAAAATATTTCATTTAAAAAAATTACGAATTTTATTCATCATGTTCATGAAAATATAAATATTTTGATACATGTATGAACACTGTAATAAAAAAAAACATCTTTTAATTCAACCGGTATTTGAGAGTGCAAACAGAACCAAGGGGCGAACATGTGGGATGTAGGGTGCAAAACTGCAAATGTGTATTTGGAGTCCAGGGACCCCATACCACCAAGTTTATTGTGCACTACAGACTGGCAATAGTCACATAAGTAAATCAACCTGTTTCAAAGCACTCTGACATGAGGGCCAAATAACATGAGTAATATAACTCCAATTAAAATTATGTCAATGAAAAACTATCTTATTTCCTGTTGGATAAATACATTTACATTTATTTCCTTTAAATGTAATGAATAAATAGAAAATTTCCATCAAATTATTTTATTTGTTAACTGCAGGGAGTAGCCTTCTTAAAAATTAACTACGAAATGCATCATTTACTATGAATACATGTAACTTTACACTGTAATGTTTTATAAATCTGTTGTTGATAAGGACATACATTTGTAGGCAGTAGATGTAGATAACAGTACTATTTGTTGTTTACTTTTAATATTTGTCAATAAACATATGCTCTTAGGTGGAGTTTCAACATACTCAATCAGCATTTCTTTTTTTTTATTTATTCATGCATGACATTTTATGTGTTGTCATAAGCATTTTAATTTTAAGTACCAAAAATGTTTTCAATTTTGCAGATACTAAAATGTCTGTGGTACAGAAGCTTCAAGATGAGTTATTGAAGCAGGATGGAATCTATGATGACATTCTTACAAAGTTTAAAGATTGTAAAACAAACAAAAGTAGAATCCAGATGGTTGCACAGATAGATGGTGTAAATAAACATTTTGACATTATCCCTGAAAGTAAACAAAAGTCATCTGATACTTCTACTAGGTTTAGAAATGAAGGAAATACATTCTTTCAGAAGGGAGAGTTTCAAAGAGCTCTGGATAAATATAACCAAAGTGTAGTGTATGCTCCTGCATTGTGTCCTGATGACCATTCCAAGGACCAACATAAAGGAGACAACTTAGAACTTTCCTATGCCTTAGCTAACCGCTCGGCTGTCTTCTTTCATCAGAAAAGTTATGATGATTGTTTGAGTGATATTGACTTAGCTATTCAGAATGAATATCCTAAATCTTTGATTTATAAATTACATGAAAGAAAAGCAAAGTGCTATGTTGAAAAGAAAGAAATACCAAAAGCTACTGAATCATTTCAAAATGCACTCAACTCATTGTCAGATGCTGAACTTGATGAAAAAAAATCCCAAAATATCAAAAACTCAGTTGAAAAGTCGATTGAAAAATGCAAGAAAAATGTATCAAATAATGATGGAAAGCCAGGAACCCAGTCTTTCCAGAAATTTCATGGTCCACTTCCAACCATTGAGAAGAGAAGTAAAATATTCCCATCTGCATCAGATGCAGTTGGGATAACTGAGAACAAAGAAACAGAATTTGGACTGGCTGCAACACGGGACATTTATGTTGGTGAAGTTCTAATAATAGAAAAGGGCTATACATCCATTGTATTACCAAAGTTTGATACAATCTATTGCCATCATTGTTGTCAGCGAGTTGTGTCAGCTCATCCTTGTCATCACTGTAGTGAAGTTATGTTCTGTAGTCACATGTGTTACAAGGAATCATGGGAAGGATATCATTCTATAGAATGTCCATGTTTAGGAACAGTTAAGCAGGCCAATTTAGGCCTTGGTTACTTGGCTTTTAAGATGGTAGTGAAAGCAGGATTATCTTTAGTAATGGAGTATGAGAGACGAGAACAAGAGGATGGATGTAAGAGGTCTGTTGGCTTCAATACTGATGGTGTTTATAATTCTGATGATTACAACACTGTATATAGCTTAGTTAATCATAGTGAAAAACGTACATCAGAAGATCTGTTTAAGCGAAGTTTACAAGCATGTTTTCTACTGAAATGTCTAGAGAAGACAAGCTACTTTAATGAAGATGAGAGAAAAGTATCATTTGCTGACAAATGTTACGTAGCTGGGCATATATTACGACATATTATGATGCTACCATGCAATGCCCATGAAGTATCAGAACTTGCGCTGAAACCAGAAAGTTTGCCAGAATCTGAAACCAAGGAGATAGGGTCTGGAATCTATCCTATACTCAGTCTTATCAACCATTCATGTGACCCTAATGTAGTGAGACACTCATATGGTGATGTATGTGTGGTCAGAGCAATAAAGAATATTGATGCTGGTGAAGAAATAGCTGATAATTATGGTGCTCTCTATCCGTTAACTGTATGTTCTGAAAGAAGAGAAATATTAAAACCACAGTACTATTTTACATGCAATTGTAAAGCATGCAGAGAAGATTGGCCGTTGTATTTCAACATACCTGTTGATGTACCCAAGTTCAGATGTCAGAAATGTAATGGACCTGTGGTCATTCCTCCTGACAAGAAGACAGAGAATTCTGTTTGTCTTAATTGTTCACATGTTCAAGATACAACAGATGTTATTGTCAAACTTCACCAGTCACAAGATGAATATCAGAATGTTCTACAACAAGTCCTAATAGGAGAGAGACTACACGAAGCTCTGCCCAAGTTAGAAGCATATCTTCAGTTCCTATATAAAACTGTGTGTATACCATGGCAGGACTGTAACAATTGTCAGGAAGCTATTAAACAATGCTATGCTGTACAAGCAAGCTGCTTTATTGCTAGCTGAATTAACTATTCAATGTTATTTGGTACCTTCAGCAACCCGGTGTAAAAATAATTACAATTAGGAAAATACATTTGATATTGTGCAATGGCAAAAGTAAAGAACAAACATTTTTATACGACCGCAAAAAAATTTTGCGGTCGTATATTGGTATGACGTTGGCGTCGTCGTCGTCTGAAGACACATTGTTTTTTGCACTTTAACTTTAATTTAAGTGAATGGATCTCTATGAAATTTTACCATAAGTTTCAATACCAAAAAAGGAAGGTTGGGATTGATTTTGGGGGTTATGGTACCAACAGTTAAGGAATTAGGGGCCAAAAATAAGCATTTTTGTAACTTCCAGACATAACTTGTGTATTAGTGTATGGATCTCTCTGACATTGTACCACAAGGTACCATACCACAAAGGGAAGGCTGGGACTGATTTTGGGAGTAATTGCCTCAAAATTTTAGGAATTAGGGGCCAAAAAGGGGCAAAAAAACAAGCATTTTTCTAGTTTCAGGACAATAACGTGTGTGTAAGTGTATGGATCTTTATGAAATTGTACTACAAAGTTCCATATCACAAAGGGAAAGCTGGGTTTGAGTTTGGGGGTAGTTGCCCTAAACGTTTAGGAATTTGGGGCCAAAAAACAAGCATTTTTCTAGTTTCCAGACAATAACTTGTGTTCAAGTGTACGGATCTCTCTGAAATTGTACTACAAGGTACCATACCTCAAAGGGAAGGCTAGGATTGAGTTTGGGGTGATGAATCATAAGGGGGTTCAAAAAAATTTGAGGGGGGATTTTTTTTTTCCTTTTTTTTCTTTAAAATTTTCCATTTTAAATTGGTTATTTCTGATTTATATAAACATGTACATGTAAAAGCAAATAATAATGATATGGTTTGAATAGGTAAATTAAAACTTTTTAAGGTCTTAGACCACATTCATTCTGTGTCAGAAACCTATGTTGTGTCAAATATTTAATCACAATCCAAATTCAGTGCTGTATCAAGCTTGAATGTTGTGTCCATACTTGCCCCAACTGTTCAGGGTTCGACCTCTGGGGTCGTATCAAGCTGCGCCCAGCAGAGCATTTTATTATGATAATAAATAAATAGAAGTTGAAAGGAAAACAAATTTAATTTATGGTTGGGCGTTTTTCAATTTTAAAGGTGTTTTATTTTAGTGCCTTGTACTTACTTTTTTCATGTGACTCGCTGCTTTCCTTATTTTCATATTATTTTAGGGCATTCGTTTAAAAAACAGCTAAAAAGATTTTTCAATGAAAATTGGTTTATTTTTAACATGTTTGAAAGTCAAAGTGATATAAAAAATTACAATGTTTTCAGTCATATGCCACCAACTTCCTAATATATGCACTAAGTGGAGTAGATATGTACATGTAATTTAAATTATTTGTTTGAGTCACTAAAGCAATGAGCAGTGTATCAATAATCTTACATCCATCTGAACATGCATGAAATATTTGCAACTGGATGTTAAGCATACAGCAATCAATCAATCAATAATCTTTATTAATCTTACATTTGTTATTATGCATGAAATATTTGCCACTGGATGTTAAGCAACCAACAATCAATCAATCAATAATCTTACATTTGTTATTAGTTTATTTTGTACATTTGTTTGTGATAACAAGTACCATGTGTAACTTTTTATGCAAAGCATTTATAGATATTTTTTTATTTGCTTTGTGATAATTACAATCAAAGACTTTTAATGAACATGATTAAACAAATGTGTGTTGGCATATATGTCTGTTTGTACATGTACCCAAAAGTTGGAAAAATCTCAGTTGTAAATATAATATACAGGTATCAAAGTTACTCCAAAATGTCATCCTGCTATTCCTCCAATATAAAAATATGGAGACGTGGTACTATGCCTGTGAGAGAACCATCCAGCAGAGACCAAATTGACTGCATGTAAACAACTATAAAGGTCACCCCCAACAACCTTTAACAATGAGCAAAGCCCATATCCTATAGTAAGCTATTAAAATCAATAGATAACAAAATGTCCATTTGACTTTTGGTTGAAATTATTAAGATTTTGTAAGTGCAAAATGTACTATTTGCTAGATCAAACAAAGTATATTGTCATGTAGTGGGAAAAGTCGCTAAATTCAAAGATTATTGTTACAGTATATCTTTTACATTTATTATGATATATAATTATTTCATGGTGCCTAGTCAGTATGCATTTGTCAGACTAAATGAACAAGTATGACATTGAGTTTATATTGTATTTATTAACATTGTGTATTATAAGTTATCTACGGATATGAACGTAGAAAACGAATTTATCCCCAGTCTTAGTCCAAATCGAGCGATTTTTGGAGAAGTTCGGACACAAATTGTAACGTGAAAGCAACATATCTTTTATTATTTAAAAAGGTTTTATTGAAATTTGAAAATTTGACATATTTTTTACGGAGTGTAGGCTACTACCTAAGGTAGAACCCTACAGGTATTCAAATATAATCCAGAGACAGAGAAACTAGAATTAATCAAATTTGCTGCAAAATGTCGTGAGCTTTATGTCATAGACGGCGGGACGTCAACGAGGGTCATTTGCATAACTAGGTCAGTAGTCCTGTTCATAGACGATGTGGTAGCCAAGTGATGCATATACTAAAATGGATGCCAATGATCAGCATAAAAAGATAAAATCGTTAGTGGATTACATACACCCCGAATAATCTACAGAATTCAATTTTTCAATGGGAACAGCCACGGAACTAAGGAAAACCCATGTGAAGTTCCCCGGGGTAATGGGTAGCAACACCCAGGTATATGGGTTAGCAACACCTGGGGCTTTGGGTTATTTAACGATGTGCATCAGCCATTTAAAATCTGAGATATATACTAAGCCGGGGATAAGTTTTTTTAAGAATGTGTATTTATGTCATGAATGTACATTTTTGTTGTGCTTGTAGTCTGTTCCTTGTCCCCTATTTTCATATAAAGCTACATATTTTCATGATTTATTCAAGGGACTGTTTATTTCATTGTTCTTGTGTAATATTTGTTTTTGTTTTTTGTTTTCTCATTATTTGCATTTACAGTGTTTTATATACATGTATAACTTACCAACTTTAGCAATTGCACAGTTGGGATTGATTAAAACTTCAATTGGGTCTTATTTTGGGGATACAATTTGAGAGAAATTTATTCACTGTGAAACACTGAACAGTTACATTGATGAACATTTGTCTGTGTTTATTCATGTTACAGGTGAATAAGTTCAGTTGGATAACTGTCAGTAATGTATGAGGCGCCGTTTTACTATTTATTCCTTATTTTCTGATATCAAAAAATATTTCTTGATATCAAAAAATTGAATTCCTGATATCAAAAAATGATTTTTTGATATCAAAAAATATTTCTTGATATCAGGAATTCAATTTTTTGATATCAAAAATTGCCTTTTTTGATATCAAGAATTCGATTTCTTGATATCAGAAAATAATCTTTATTTCTTGATATCAGAAATTCGATTTTTTGATATCAAAAAATCATTTTTTGATATCAAGAAATCCATTTTCTGATATCAAAAAATAGATTTTCTGATATCAAATATTACTAACGATATTTTGTTATCAAGAAATACATTTTCTGATATCAAAAAATGATTTTTTGATATCAAAAATTCGAATTCCTGATATCAAAAAATGATTTTTTGATATCAGAAAATAAGAAAAATATCAACGATTGCTCCCTGTGTGTCAATAAAAGCATCAACGTTCACCAATGAGCCCTTACATTAAGTCTGGTTTTTCGGTCGTGTAATATATTATACGAAAGCATATATCAGAGTTCGACTTCATCAGTCTTAATATAAGAAGTTTTGTGTTTTTTGTGTTTCACATATTTATTATTTTAAGGTTTATAGTCAACAATTGTAAGTTCTCGCTTCTTTTATAAGCAATTATTGGTTTCCTCTGAAACAGATTTGTGCAGTCAGGTTTTTGCAAATATCAAGCCCCAGTGTTTTGTTCATCGTGTTTTTAAATTTTTTTCCCGTTGTTTATGTTGAAGATTTAGTAAGTAAGTTAGTTCTGTTAAGTTTAAAAATAAGGAGATGTGGTATGATAGCCAATGATACAACTAGCCACCAAAGTTCAAATGAAGTTGATGTAAACAATTATAAGCAACCGTACGGCCTTCAACAATGAGAAAACCCCATACCATATAGTCGCCTATAAAAGGCCCCAATATGAAAAAGAAATAAACAACTCAATTTAGAAAGCTAAATGCATTTATGATTTATAACAAAACAATTTACGTAAAACAAATATGGCAGACATCATTCGTAAATATAAATCAACATGCAGACTTCTTTACAAAGCACAAAAATGTCGGCATTCACCTCAAAATCTAACCAAACCTTTAAACAGACTTATTCGGAAAGGATATACCGGTAGTTACGGTACTGTTGTCAATTAGTCATTAATGATTGCATATTTTGGTATTAATATTGATTCACTCATAGGGTCTTTGCATCGGAAATAAACACATTTATTCTAAAACCAGTTGTGGGCATGATACGGTTTATGTTCTTCTTATATATTCTATGGTGGTATGATACTAAACTGATAACGGGAGGGATTGTACTGGATATTGTTATGATGATGAAGACATAATCTTTCAATCAGTTTAATTGAGGTCTGGAGCTGGCATGTCAGTAACTGCTAGTAGTCCTTTGTTCATTTATGTATCATTGTCATTTTGCTTAGTTTATTTTGTTACCTGTTCTGACATCGGACTCGGACTTCTTTTAAACTGAGTTTTACTGTGCGTATTGCTATGTTTTTCTTTATTCTACATTGGCTAGAGGTATAGGGGGAGGCCACGGTTGAGATCTCACAAAACATGTCTAACCCCGCCGCATTTTTTCGCCTGTCCCAAGTCAGGAGCCTCTGGCCTTTGTTAGTCTTGTATGTTTTTTAATTTTAGTTCATTGATATGTTTTGGAGTTTAGTGTGACGTCCATTTTCACTGAACTAGTACACAATTTTGTTCAGGATCCAGCTGAGGACCACCTCCGGGTGCGGGATTTTCTCGCTGCGTTGAAGACCCATTGGTGGCCTTCGGCTGTTGTCTGCTCTTTGATCGGGTTGTTTTATCTTTGACATCCCCCCCCCATTTCCATTCTCAATTCTATGAACCAAGACAATGCACGAAACTGCAGGCTCCGGACTTGGAACAGACACGTAAAGAATGTTGCGGGATTAAACATGTTTGAGCGCTCAACTCTCCCCTTAACCTGGGACACTGGTGTTACATTACAACATAGTGTAAGAACAAACGTGGCAGGGTAACAAATACAAAAAGACACAAATTACAGATGTGATAGTGACAACTAGTTCAAAGCCAACAACAACATAAAAAAATGCATGTCTTGTATTTTCAAAAGATTTGTCTATTTCGTCTTTTTACGAGACTGCTAGTATTTCTTATGAACCGCGTCTTCCATAAACCTTTTAAATACATATGAGCTTTTTCTGTGAAGCAATGAAACGTTTCAGTAGGTTGGATGTACGTTTTCATCTCTAAAATACCTTCATTTTGGAAAAGTTTGTCTTTATATTGAAAGGATTGTCAAGAAATTTTCACTTCATTTTGAGGAAAGTGGTAAGTACAATTTAGTAGGGTATACATTTCGACTCTTCAAAATTCAAGAGTCTATCCTAAATTGAGGTAAATTATATGGTCTTCCAAATACCGTTTCGATTCCTAACATCACTGAAGAGATATTAATTGTCGAAATCCGGATATGGTGTACAAATTTTTGCACCTCATGTTTGCGGTATACCATCTTTTCCGCAAGTTTATTGTTTTCTGTTTGATATTAAATTAATAATTAAGATCAATTTTGTTACATCTTGTGATCCGTTTATTTGGCAATCGCCA